GACACGCAAGATAACCTAAACATATACTCAGTGCCATCCTCAAAGCATGTCCAAGTACATCCAAACTTGCTCCTCAAACTGTTTTCAGGCTACACTTCTTCTATCCTCTAGACTTTGATGTAGTGCACACTTAATTTAAACATCATATATATATTTATTTATTTGCTGTGCGTACACAGACCTTTCTCCCTTTTCCCTGCAGAAACATATTAGACATTACAAAAATAATTTGTGGTATAAAAGAATTCTCACACAATGTAGAATTTTTGTTTTGTATATGTAACTAAAATATATATATATTTTTCCAAAAGTAAAAAAGTCAAAATGTCCTTATTTTCCTCTATTATATAGTCTATTTTATTTACAATGTTACCAAACAATATCCTGTATGTAAAAGTGATAAAAGTTTGCGGGACACTTCCTGCTTAGCAACTTCTAAAGCGGAGTGTGGCTTTAAGAGGACTGCAACAACAGCACTGTCACACCTTATCAACCAGCACCTTCCTCTGCAATACAAGTTCCTTCCATACCAAGTGAAACCAGACCTTTCCCCGGAAAACCAGGGCAAGCTCTTACAGTCTGACTAGAAAGCAGCACAAGAGGAATAAAACGTGTGTTCTCTGTTTTCCGTGCTGTGATATTAAGGGGGATCAGGATTCCTAATGGTGAGGCCTGACCCAGCCAACCTGGAAATATCTGCTTCCACTGAAACCAATGATTTCAAGGGAGAACAGCAATGAATCAGGAGACTCAAGGAAAATGCAGTGGAATTACCGGGAGGCACTCAAGGACCTTCTCTTCAAAACAAACATACACAAAGATTTTGGCACTTCCATAGGTGTAACTATCTAGCACTGGATATTCTGTAAGAGAATTTCAGCTGAAGAATTTCAGCAGCATAAGAAATGGGTTTCTTTTGCCTTAAATAGAAATTTCTTAATTATCAGGATCAGCTAAAATCCTTAATCATAATGAATAAGCCTAGCACTACTTAACTGATGGTTACGCTGGTTTATAGCCATCTCTTGTAATATGCACCTATATTTTAATATAAGCCACATACAATTTCCAGCTTTGCTGTACTAATGCAATTTCATTAGCGAGTCACAGCTCTATCATCTCAAAAAATACCCCTATTTTAGCCTCTGTGGTATTTCCAGTTTAAAAATGTGAACTCAAACTTTGTTCACCTAGGAAACCAGCACAGCCAGTGCAATAAATTCATAAAAGGGAATTACACTGGAGGGATGGGGAATCGTGGCTCTTAAATTCAAGGAGAATTTTTACTCAGGATATTTAATGTTAGTATTCACCTCAGAACTGCCATTACAAGAGAGGAAGGTCACCAATAAAATTCTGCAGTCAAGTTTTTGAAGACCAACTTCCTCTACATCTAAATGGGAAGTGAAATTTAGTGATTGGGAAGTAACAGAAGAGAGGTGTTGTTCCCATCCTATTCAAGGAAGTGTTAAGAGCAAAAGAGTTGCAGTTGCTTATGACAGCTACACCTATGGATGTGCCCCATTCCTGACTTGGAAAAAGCCTCTGCAGCACCAAACAGAACCAAAATCATGTTGTCAAATGCTAGATCAGCAGTGAGGGAACTACTTACTTGGCAGCTCAGCTGTTGAAAAACCGATAAGTTAAAAGGAGCTTGTCTTCATTAATAAAATAAATACCAGTTTAAAAAAAAAAGCTTGAGTCAAACTCGTACAAATTTGGAAATAAGTGAAAGTCCAGCATTTCCTTCTCTGCTGCAATAGCAAGACACACGTACCTACATACATATAAAACTTGTAACTCAGCACACACGCAATTTGGAAATTCTTTTTAAAGTCAGTTTCTGAAACCTGCTGACAAGATGATCTATAAGGAACCATTACACCAGGAAGATGTAATACTTTACAATCAATGTTCGGTCAAGGTTTGTACGGTCGTGCAGTTCCCCGCAGTAAGATAAGCTACATGTGAGAATTTTTGTTTATGCTTTCTCAAAAGAGAATATTTCAGACACTGTCTAATAGGCTATTAAAATCATATGGCACTTTCAATAAATACTTTAAAGCTTCTTAAAGAAATCAGGATAAAAAAGCAACTGCTGTAATAAGCCTGTTTTAACTATTATACGTAATGCTGAAGGAAAAAATCCAGAAGAGCAAACAGATATTAACAGTTAAAAGACAGTACAGCTTTTTTTCTTTCTGCAGCAATATGAACTGGCTCCCATTCCCGGGGAAACGGGAGCAAGCCCACCTCGAAACAAGTATTCACTCAACCTTAACTGCTCTACGCTCCACCCCAACCCTTACATCACTTCACTTCTAAAACATAGTCACATTATTATATAAATCTCAGTGCAGAAATGTATTAAACATGAAAAATACTGATCCTGCAAACATTTACAACCACGCTTAACATCAAGTGAGTGCCTAATGTCATGACACCAGAAGAGCTACCTACAGCCTTAATGCCAAGCGTAGGTATGTTGCAGCATCAGGCCCAAAGATGCCAACCCCCACCGGGGACATCAGCTGGGTCAAAATGGTATCGTTCTGTCTGGTTTTGTCAAGGTTTTTCTCAACATCAAGAAACATAAACTTTCAAACCTACACACGGAAACACAGTTACATGTGTGTACATACTAATATGCAATATACATTCAGTAACTTGAAAGAATAGGTTAAGACTTTATTCAGATAGACAAATTAAGGCAATTCTCTTAATGTCTCTTCAAGATAAAGGACCATGTCCTCATTTGTGACCTCTAGGTTTTAAAGCTATACTTTTCAAGAAATATATTTCAATTTTCTTTATATTTTCTCCAATTAGCAGTTTTGTTTGCTTAATAAATTATATCTGTGCAAGGATGCACACTGATAATTTGGCAGTGGCGAGAAGTCCAATTCATTTACATAATACAGACTTTTTACATTTCCGTTACAGGGTGATTAGTTTAGGACTGCATTTTGGCTTAACACAAAAGAAAATTTAGAAGATCTGGCCATCCAATGGACATAACTTTGTCAGTCTAGCAAGACACAGAATTGATGTCATATTCAAAGTAAAAAAAAAAAAATGGAAAAAAAAATTAAAAAAGAAAAGAAAAAAATGATGTACTGTCCTTTCACTAAAACAGACCAAAAAAAAAAAATAACACAGAATGGAAACAGCCTTCACAAATAAGAGTGAATAATGCCCAGGTACCTTATATAGGCAGTTATTCTACAACTGTATACAGTTATTTACAATGGTGCTTTATTAAACAAAACAACAAAAAAATGGTAGCACTTCCTAAAAGATTTTGGAACTTTTTTTCTTTTTTTTCTTTTTTTAAAACTCCCTTGTCATAAAAGCCAACTTACATTAAAATATACTTACTACAAGACAACACAACTAACAAAATATATAATAAAACTCATACAAGTAGAAAATTCTGAGGTATTTCTGGTTTGAGGTGGTCTGTGGTCATGAAGTTTTAATTTTTTTTTTTTCAGTTTAAACCTCGGAAGCCACGTAATGTGTGTGTGTGTGTGTTTTGTGTTTGTTTTTTTGTGGTTTTTTTTAAGTTTTTTTTTTTTTTAAACATTGCATGTTTTGCAAATTAAAAAAATATTTCATTGTTGAATCAGCAGCATTAGGAACATTCACTGACTAGAGCGAGTTTATGGCATAATAAGAGTAACGGTATCTTAGAATATGCACCACTTTAAGACAAAAAAGTTTCATCACAGAGTAAGGAGAAAGCAGTGTCAAAGAAACCGGTCAGAGAGATGCTGTGGGAATCACTGTTGCTGCTCAACTGGGCAGCCCATAGGGTTCTCAACGTTCTTCAGGTATTTTCACTCCCCCAACTCCAAATTAATAAAGAAAAAAAATTATATACCCAGTTTCTACCCTTTTCCTCTTTCCACCTTCTGCACCGGTAGCTTGGGCTGACAGATAATCAATCCAAGGCCAAATTTCCTCAACTGACTCACACTTGAGATGCAAGAATTTTCCCATCTTCCAGTATTTTACCAAAGTGCTTCTGAAAGCACACTTTCCCACCTCTCCTGATTACACGGCTTAAAAGCATCCTTCCCACTGCTACCTGGAGTCAAAAAAATAAAAGGTAATTATAGTTCTGCTTTGTTCTTTTACTGCCAAGCCCGAGATTCTGGAGGAAGAAAGAACTAGCGCCTCGCTTCCAACCATTGTCTCTTTAACTCTGCTTTCTCCACACTCTGCAGCCGTTAATACTCTGCCCAGAAATGTCCTTCCCCTCCTCTAATGGTTACCTGAGAAGTAGCTCCATAGCAAAATGATGTTTCCCCAAATGCTGCCAAATCCAACGTCACTCTCCCCACCCCTATTCTACGCTCCCCCCTTCAATTCTACCATCAAGAATTAACATTCTCCGCCCAGTTACTTTTTTTTCCATGTTACAATGACACCCGTTAGATCCGTAAAGACACATCTGCTGTTTTTTTTTGAAGCTCACTTCCAAAAAAAAAATAAAAATAAAAAAGGAACTGAACCCAAAACCAAAACAAAATGGGGAAAAATCCTTTTGAGGAAGGTGTGTTCTTTATATAACAGTCTTAAGTTTCCTCCACAGTTTGCAGCATTGCGTTTTTGAAGATGGTAGGTGGTTTTCCTTTATGTCACATAAGCTTTATGTCACAGATGCTCCGCTCAGAAGACAGACTGATAAAGAGAAACCCAGAAAACTGAATAAAATAAAAACAACTGAAGTGAGTTTGTTGAGGTTCTGAGGTACCTGCACCTTTTCTGCATTCATTAGTCGGCACCTGAATGCTTGCTGAAATGTCCATTTTTTTTAATACAGTAGAGCAATGTGCTGGTAAAATTGATCCAATCCAAAAAAATAATAATAATAACAATAATAATAAAAAGTCAAGATAAAATAGCAGCTGCATTCATGGGTTTGTTGGATTTTTGTGTTTTGTTTTTTTTGTATTTTTTTTTCCAAACTTTTTCCTTGTTGTTTTTTGTCGGTTCTTTTTTTTTTTTTTTTTTTTTTTTTTTTTTTTTTCCCAAATCCACTGAGTCTGGAAAGACAAAAGTGAACCAGGACCCAGGACTCAGATACTAGACTCTTTGGGTGGCAAGTCCACGTTGGTGACGGACGTCACGATGGAGACGAGGCAGTCCGAGGTAGTGCCGTTTACGGATTTGCGGATCTGCGCAATGCGCTCCTCGACACAGCCCGCCGAGAGCCGAGCCTCCGCGTCGTGGTCCCAGCACTCTTCGATGGTCACGCAGAGCTGCGCCAAGCCCTGCAGACGAAACGGGGAGAAAACACCTTCAGCAACATCATCTGCTCCCGGGACTGCCCTTGAAGAGGGTGGTGAGGTCCATTTGGCACAGCCTAACGCTGTAAAGAAAACCTCTCCACGATGTGCCAATTACCATAGGATAAGCTTTAACAATTACTTTAAATATGTGTTTTCGTGTTTAAGCTTTTGCTTTCTAAGGCTCTAAGGCTTGGTCGCATCCAGTCCCTAAAGTACTTTTTTAATATCAAAATAAATCCCAAGATTCAGCAGTCAGAGCTTTAAAAGACAAGACAACAAGAATTACGATTCCCTTGATAAAACTGCGAGAGCTGGCAGCACTGTGTCAGTTACTATGAAACCACTGCTTTGTTTGCAATCACTTCTCTCCATATCCCCAAAATAACTGAATTCAACAGTGCTGGGAGAGCACAGCTCTTATTTGAACCCTCATTTGAAGTAGAACACTAATCTTTTTCTACAACCCGCAGCTCTCCCTGACTTTTAGGCAGTGAGGTGGTACACCTAAGTCTAGCCAAATCCATGGAAGTTTGGTCAAAATAGAGGCATTTGGCTTCTTACTGAAGCCCTGTGAGACATCATCATCTGCTCAGTTTCCCAATCTGAGAAAAATCAGCTCTTTCATTAGAAACACAAGCCTGAAATGATCTACCTCTGGGAAACCCATGCTGCGTTTTGCTTCACTGTCTGCTTGCCTTCACGTCTAATTAATTTTTTCCTCAAAAAACTGTTCCAAGTCTTGCATGTCATCTAGCTTGTGAGGAACATGTCTCCAATGATATGGATCATTTTCTTTTTCTTAATGAAAAGACTTTGTTTTCCATTCTTTCACCATATTAAAGGAGTCCTACTAAACCACCACAAATTCAGCACTGGCTGATTAATCAGCTGGTTTAGTCTCTAAATACAAGGGAAAAACAGAAAGGGGAGCACAAAGGTGTTGAGCAACCCCTCATTCCCCAGCACTGATTCTCTCTAGCATTGGGAATGCCTAACCACATCCCTCATTCCCATCACACAGGAAAGTATTTTCCACTGTTAACCAGGAGGGACGTACGGGATGTTTTAACCAGTGATCCTTGAACACAGGGCGCATCTTCTTGTGAACCACCACTTCTTGCAGGTCCTCAAGGGATGGGTGCTGACCTATTTCTTCTTCAAAAGGCAGCATGTATTCATCCACTGGACCTAAGGTGCACACAGAGAATCGGGTTAGCATAGAAATGTTCTCTGCAGAGCCACGTCCTCTCCATGCATGAGAGAGCTGTGGCTCCAGAGCAACCTCGACCCACTGCAACAAAGCCTGACATTCACATGTCACTACAGACAAATGTGATTTACATTCCTCCTGCACAATGGTCTTTGCTGTCCCTGCTGCTTGTCTGGACACGCATTTTCCACCTCGTTGAGTTACGAATCTGAACCCTCAGTTGGGCCTCCTGATCCCACCGCTCTCCTTGAGGAAGCTGGCCTGGTAGTCTTTGATTTATTTTAATAGAAAGAGCAAATCAGTCCATCCTTCCCACATTTTAGCATAGCAATTCAACACACAATAACTTAGAGAAAGGTTTCAGCATGAGAATAGTTTCATTTTAGCACTGACTAGTGAGGTCAACTATATGCAACACTTAGAGTTTCGTGCTTTGTGATCTGGCTTGCTCATAGGTTTGAGTCAGCCCTGACATGCTGGAGCCAGACGCACTTGTTCCAGGTACCAGCTCCTAAGTGAAAAATGATTTCTGAACACTTTAGCTAGACCAGTTATGGCTGTCAACTGCCCTGGGCCACGGGAACGAGACAACTGCTATGAGTATCAGTGCAGATGCTGGATGGTAGCAATAACTTCCGCTTATTGAAACATCATTTGGCTTTTGGCAACGTGTAGATGCTCTCTCAAAAACAGCAGCTCATCTTAACTGATTGGCTTTCTCAGGGTGCTCCGTGGCATCACTAGTGGTTTCTCAGCAGCAAAAAGCAATCACTTGGAAGAGCAGAGGTATTTCAAGAGGGTCTTTCCAGACTAAAATAAGAGAGCTGACCACTTCATCTGGCCATGAACTGTGACACCAGCAACATGATGTTTAAGTACTCCAAAAAATGAAATCACTAAACTGGCTTTACCATTTTTCTTGTTGACTCAATGCCAGTCAGTAAACCAAACAAACACTCGCTCCAACAGAGGGCTCAATAACGCTCATGACTTTCCTCTCCTCTTCCTCCAAGAGGAATCCAAGCTATGGAGAGCTGCACTGGTGATCTCCAAGCAAAATCTGCTGTTTACACAACATCACTTCTGACCTAGAAGTGTAAAAGGAAGCTTTCCCTCTGATTTAATGGTGCTGTGTGTGGCACCTGGAGTATCTTGGCCAGCTGCTGCCTGAGAAGAGTGGAAAGGAGATCACAAAGGTAGCAGAAAAAAATCCAAGGGGATATTTGGGGTACCTCAACAGAGAAGGGTTAAGCCTACATGAGTGATCTGAGTACCACTGTTTCACCCTACTGTGCTCCTCAGTTCCTGCTCCTCCAGCATTTTACCTGGTTAGATTGTAAATTTTTGAAGAAGAGATCTTCTATTATCACACACCTATGCAGACATCCTAATTATAATCAAGCTCCTCAGTACTCCTGTAATGCTAACGAAAACATTTGAAGTCCAGCTGAGGTCTTGCTGTTTTATGAACTTTAGTTCAGACCACCCATATCTATACAAGAAGAAAAAGGTTGGAGGAAGCAGCCTGGGAGCTACTACAATGATATGATTGCTTCCCTGTCCAGGGGTGAGGTCCTGCACATGGTGAAGGAGTCACCAAAGGGCAGATGTGCTATTTGGACAGAAAAGATGCCTCACTGTCCCACATAATTTTAGGATAAAAAACCTGAGAAAGCAGACACCATGAAGTTCATTCTTTTAGATCCTTCAGGAGAAAGTGAGGTACTCCAAAGCTGTGGATAGAACAACTCAGCCCACTTCTGAGAGAAAGCCCACTTCATCAGCAAAAGTCAAAGATCAATAACTAACGACTTATGACAGCAGGGAAATGGGCTCGCTGACCCAGGCAGGTCCTTTCAGCCCCATGTTCCCACTATTTTGCTAAGGTGTTTTCCATTCAGGCTACCACACTGACCTGCATAAGCAAGGTGACAGCCAAGGTGGCTGCGTAGCTCTTCTCTGGAGCTCAAAGCCTACTTGGTCACAGGCAGGAATGCAGAGTGCCAAGAAGAGCAGCACAGAGCAAGCTCAGGACTAAAGGACACTCATCCTGGAGGAACCCCCTACTCCTCCTTCTGAGTTCTCAGCAAATTTGCAATGCAACCAACGTAGTAAAAAGCACTTTGAGACTTGAACACTACAAAGGTTATTATCTACAGAGAGTGACAGCTTATGTTAAAAAACAAATGAAAAACAGGTTCGCTGCTTAAGAAAAATATGATATTGGTTGTTATTTTTTTTAAACAGAGACAGAGCCATTCTCTGGACCACCAAACCACACTGAAACCGAGCCCTCCCCAGGGAAGAGAGGATCTTTATTCTTACCATCAACTGCTCTACATCTGGAGACTAGCTCCCACAACACCAGTCCCATCGCATACATGTCTATCCTCAGGAACGCATCTCGTTGGAAGTTGATTGCTCCCTCTAACACTTCAGGAGCCATATACCTCCTTGTTCCCACCTGCAGAGAAAAAACACAACTCAAGTTACATTCCAGTTGGGCCCCTCAGCCTCCTCTGGCTGGAGATGAGTGACAGCTGCTCTCATTGCCCTTAAGGCCACTGCTGCTAAAGGTGCACCTCACTTGAAAAACAAGCAAAAGGGAGCTGTTTCTTCTGACACCGATTCTCATTAAGATCACTCGAGTCCAGATAAGCTACATGAAGGGAAAAGCCAAAGTGCCTGGCTACGTGTGTGATATTCATTCAGTGCACATTACAGGTCCAATTCAAACGCAGTGTGGCACGCTGAGTATGGATGAAATCCTGCCCTCCCTGCATCCCACTGCTTGTTGCTCCAGCATCACACACAGCATGAGAAAATGCTGTCTTTGGAGACATACAAAACACCTGAGATCAAATCTGACTTGGTTATCCTAGTCATTGAAAGTCCAATCCTCTTTCACTCAAAGAAACAACAACAACAACAACAAATATATATATATATATATATATACAAAAGCAGAGAAGAGAAAAATTGATATATCCTGAAATGGTAGGAAAAGGTGTTGGTTTGACAGGCCTGAGTAAAACAAGTCTCCTGCATCCACAGAAACAGTAAAACATGAACCCTGCAAAGTCCACTTTGCTCTGGTTTGCCATGGTTTGGAAAAGATCTTATCTTGTTTTGAGGGAGATTCAGCCCTCATTAGAGTGCCTCCCTTGTGTGTTTAGCCCATTATGTAGGAGAATGGAGAGGACAGCAAGGGAGAAGCACCTTTTTAATATAGGAATTAAAACACCTTTAATATTTTCCTTTAAAGAAATTCTCTTCTGTTCTTGCTGTTACCTGAGGCACTGAGGACAGGGGGAAGCCAGGATGTGGAAAGGTGTGCAAAAAACAGAAATAGGCAAAAAAAAAGGTGACAAAAATGAGGAAAGCTGGAGAAGGCTAACTCAGAAGAGAGTGTTCACTCTTTCTGAGATAAAGGTAAAAAAGGGAGACTGCACTGAAGCTGGGAATTAAGAAAACCCCAGAGACACAAGGACAGGATGATGGCTTCATTGTGCCCCAGCACGAGAGAAGAATGAGGGGCCCCTCGCTGTAATGCAAAGGCAGAAAATTAAGAACCCATAAAAATGTAGTCAATTGTTTACAGAGTGCACAGCCAGCTGTGCCAATGGTCAACCAAGCAGCCATCCTGGCTGAATTCTTAAAATCAAACTAATAATTTTAAAAGTATTGATATTTGTATTGTAGTATTAATATTAATATTTTGGAGTATTAATATTTGTGTTACAGTCTAGAGAAGTATTCTGTGCAGTGGGTAGGAACTGGCTGACAGGTCACACCCAGAGGGGGGTGGCAAATAGCTCCTTCTCAAACTGGCAACCTGTCCCAAGTGGGGTCTCCCAGGGACCCACATGGGGCCCAACACTGTTTAATATCTTCCTAAATGATGTAGATCATGGGATCATGTGTAACCTGGTAAAGCTCGCTGATGATATCAAACTGAGTCAGGAAGTGGACACTTTGGAAGAGACAGACACCGCACATGAAGAGCTGGAAAGGCTGGAAGAGTGGGCTAACAAGAATCTTAATAATTTGGAGTGCTGGAGAGCAGCTCTGTGGGAAGCGTCCTGTGGGACTACAAGTTCAATATGTGTACATGGAGCTGCTGTGGCAGAGGGTCAATGGGATGCTGGGCTGCACCAACAAAGGCATCACTAGAAAAAATAAGAGTCATTATCCTGCTCTGCTCAGCTCTTGTCAGGCCACATCTGGAATACTGCGTTCAGTTTTGGTCCTTGCTACACAGAAAATATGTGGACAGGCTGGAGAGGGTCTGGAGAAGGGCCACAGAGATGATCAAAGGGCTGGGAAGGCTGTCTTATGAGCAAAGGCTGAGAGAACTGGTTTATTCAGCCTTGAGAAAAAAAGGCTGAGGGGAGACCTGGTCACAGTATTCCTTGTTCACAGCATTTAAAGGGTGGCTGCAAAGAAGATGGAGACTCTCTTTTTACAGGGAGTCAAATGGAGATGAGGGGCAATGGGTACAAGTTACTCCTGGAAGATTCTGATTGGACACAAGAGGAAAGTTTTTCACAATGAGAACAATCAGCCACTGGAATAATCTCCCTAGGAGAGTGGTGGATACCCCAACACTGGACACTTTGAAGAGTCAGCTGGACAGGGTGCTGGGCCATCTTGCCTAGACTGTGCTTTTGCCAAGAAAGGTTGGATCAGATTATCCTTGAGGTCTCTTCCAACACAAGATAATCTCTGATTCTATGATTCTGTGAATATTTATTACTGAAACTATAAAGAATCAATTAGCCCTGTGCCTGAAGGAGGAAGCCACCTGCCCCCAAGGCTGGGGGGACCTCACCTGCACAGTGGTCAGGAGGGTTCGAGCACTCTCCCCATTCACCAATATTAGAGCATCTCCTGGAATGTATGTCTGAGCATAAGCTCTTATGGAAAAATACATATCTCAAAGAGAATTAAATGCATCTATACAAACTACCACCCTGACTCCCGAGGAGCTGTGGCAGGCCCAACGTTTTAAAATGTTAAAGATAATGATTACCTGTCCATGAGTGTCCCCTGGAGGTTTTCCAGGTTCAAACCGTACAGCTAGTCCAAAATCAGCTAGCACTGCCGTCAAGTCATTCTTCAGCAAGACATTTTTACTCTTGAAGTCCCTGTGGACAAGCCAAGAAGTAAGTTTGGGAAGGTTTTACTATGGCACACATCTAAATCACAATGCAACACAACACAACGTTGCATGTCTACAGATGTTGAATGTCTACAGGCTTAGCAGCTCCCAGTAAATCAGCTCCTTCCTTCCTTTCTTTCTTCCCCAGCTTCCCAGCATGGTCAGTGCTGACAAATTTGGCTGCCTCTCTCTGCCCTTGTCACTAAAACACAACCAAGCAGCCCTGAGCTTTTCCGCACAGAGTCGGCCGAACTCCCCACTGAATTAATCTCAAAATGAAATCTGATCTGAAGGGGCTATTTTAATTAAAGCAAGCAGTATATAAGGCACCATTTCTTGCTCCAAGCACTGGCTCTGGACCCCCAACTTCGGGCACTTCCCATTCCCAACAATAAGAACAAGACAGGTTAAGGGAGTACATTACTCTTTATCCTACTAAGGATGTTTGCTCCTATCTACAAAATTAGATCTTTCTGGAAATCAGTACCTGCTGGTAGGACTCTCTCCACCCTAACTACATGCCTCAACAGACTTTGGCCATAGTCATCTATTAGCCTTCTGTTTTAATTGCTGGATCGATCTTCCCTGGAGAATTCAGGGAAGCAAGCAGAGAATGGGGTGAGTCCATGCTCAGACACACTGTCAGGATTGGACTGGGCAGCTGACAGGCAGGTGTTAAGCATTTGCAGTAGATATGGTGGGTCTGTTCTTGAAGGGGACATTTGTGTCAGTCCTGTGCTGCAGCGGGATCATTTCAGGGCAGCTCAGGTGAATCTGCAGGGTCTTGAAAGGGTAGGGGGTGGAGGAAGATCACACCGAGATGCCTAACCACTCAAGCTCTGTTCCCTGGGCTTCCTGCATTTTCATCTGAAAAGGAATGTTTGGCAATCTAATTAAATTACAGACCTTAGACAGCAGATGGCAATTGTCCTGAATGCTCAGCATTATAATTTCCCTATCATCAATTCACTCGGTGACCCTGCTGATTGCAGGACATTGCGGGCCTGCACAAAATAATTAATGAGGGCAGATACAATTGTTCCACACTGGAGAGACCTGTCAAAATTCTTTGTGAAGAGAGAAACTGCTGGACCATAGAGAAGAGCTGCTCTCTGCAGCCTCAGATGCCAGAGCATCAGCTCAAAGCACCGTGAGCAAAAATCATCCTGTGCCACCCAGCCCCTGATTCTGAGCTTAAAAAATCAGACGAGAGGATTTATCCTTTCTAAGCTAAACACAGTGTGATGGGCATTTCTGGCTTGAGGATTAAGATGGGGGAAGTGGGTGTGAAGTTGGAGAGCAACATACAGCCAGTGAACCCCAGCAGAAAACAGCCCCCATCACCTCTGGGGACACAGTACAGCTTTACAGAGCCCCCAAAATATTGGTACACATCTGTTACACAGAATAAACCAGTATTTACCTAATACCTGTCATCTTAGAGGCTGCCTGTTTCCATGTTATAGCAGTTTCCCCACAGGCTTAGAAAACAGCCATCATCTAATGACATGGATAAACTCCTTTGCTCGCTCAGCATTAGGGGATTATGCCCTCAGGATGGTACAGATTGTGCACGAGATTTTTGTGAAATAGTGGCTCAGCGAGGCCCACACAGAAATTGTCAGACAGTCTGCCTGAACAATATAGTTCTGCTGTGATGTGAGATGTAAACCAATATTATCGTATGGGCATGTGTTGCTGCTGCTCACCCTCACTGCTCTTTGGGCATGCAACAGTTAACTCCTACATCTTGATACCTGATAAAGGGATTTCCCTTTTAACTTCCTTCCCTCTCCCCCCCATTTCCATAAATTCCCCCATTTTTCCATGCTTTCCTTCCTTCTTTCCACAAACCACCTTGAACTGGCAAGTGTTAGCTGCAGTGCAAACATATCTAGGCCAGGGAGAGGGACCTGATCCAAACCATGCCAAGTAGAATTCCCACTAAAATTGCATGCATTACACCATCCTAAAATGGTCACTGATAACGGAAAGTGGCATGAAAAGAAGAAAATATTCTTTTCGATATAACGCTTCAAAATGTTAGGGAACACAGAGCAAGCAGATTATGAGTAATGGGTGCACTATCTCGATTTAGACACTGGAGATTTTATTTCCAGCTTCCACGTGGGGGCACTTTCGCACCAACAAGCGATTCCATAACCTTAATCCTCTTTACAGTGCTGGGGGCCAGTGAGGAGTTGGCTGAACCTCTGCCCAGCAGGGACTGGGGAGTTCCACCTGGCAATCCCAGCATCTCGGTGCGCACTGTGGGAAGCCTTTCAAAAATACCCCCTCCATCCCCCTCCCCAGATTTAAAATGCATTTAGTGTTTTCTTTTAAAAACAAAATTAAAAGGAGTGGGGTAATCCAAGAGAAATCCCCTGTGTCCTGAAATCCCTCTTCCGTAGGTATGTGCTAAATTCACACAAATGCTGCATTCTCCAGCTTTTATAATTTGCTAAATGGACGAGGACACTAATGAGCACGATCTGTTGCTTTAAAGCCTTTCTACAGCCTTCCTCTGTTCCCCACCCTCAGGAATTTTCATCTATAAACCACTGCCTTTATTCCACAGGGACAAATGTCAGGGACACAGGGGTCAGCTCCAGGAGCAGCACAAAGGCAGCTGCAGGTTCTTTCAACAGCCCCCAACCTCTCCAAAACCTTCAGATTTGGGGAGGTGAGGTGTTTTGGGGGCAGGGACACCCTTGCAGAAACAGAGATTATCTTGCCGTACACAAAGCCGGTCCCACTAGATCGGGTACAAATTGCTGCAGCTGGACATGGGGTTTAAGTCCCTCCTGGATGAAATGTGGTGGGTGGTGGGGGAGTATGGCTGTGGATTACGGCCTGTAGCCCGTGTAAATCCCTTCTGGAAACCGCCCCCACCCTGCCCTGCCATCAGCAAACCACTCAGGAGAGATGCTTTAGTCCAGGGCAAGCAATGTGGGACTCCAGAGAAGGGCCAAAGCAGTGGGGATGGTTTAACCCACTGCTTTCTGGATTCACACTGTCCCCACGGTGCTGCCGCCCAGGTAGGCTGAAGCATGTGCCAGGAGGTCTCAGAGGCAGGGTGGTGCCTGCTCTGGTATCTCTCATAATCACCCTGGCATGATTTGGGCTCTATAAAACTACAGTGAAAAATAAATAGCGGCCATTTTCTGTGTTTCCAGTTTCTCCATTACTTACCTCGTGATTAAAATCTCTGTGGGAAGACACATGGTGGAGTTATCAGTCTAAACCAGGGAAAAATAGGGTCCAACTCCTGGTACAGCCATAGAAATACACAGACTATAATGTGATGATATTATCAAGTAAAGTCCTTTCAAAAAGCAGTTCTGCAGCAAACAGCATTCCCTTCCCACTACACGTCAAGAGAAGAGTTGATGGAAGAGGGAAGCACCTACCCTTCAGACATTTGCCACCAACTACTACTAACTATACTATTTCACGGACGTGACACTTATTTGCTCTTTACCATTTCATATGTAGTTAAAAAAAATTCTTGTCTTAGCATAGGATTTGTTGGGTTAAAAGGCATTTAATTCCTAAAGGCACAACCTCCTCCTCCATTCAACAGCATCATCTCAAAGACGCTGCGAACGTTTGCACGCAGCACCTGAATGGTGTCAATGAAAGAGGCCGTACCTGTGTGCTATAGCAGGTTTGTGTCCTTCACCTTTGCACCAAGGGACGTCTTCATGAAGGTAGGACAAGCCACGGGCCATTGTTTCTGCAACATGGCAGAGCTCATTCCAGCTGATAATGTTGCCCTTCAGGTAATCCGTCAGAGAGCCCTGCGGAAAAGGACATTGTCAGTTCTTAATCCCAGATCCTGCTATGTGACAGATGTGCCAAATCATCAGTTCAGAGAATGGTATGGAGAGTGCTCGAGAAATTTGAACCTTGATTTAACAGGGGTGAAAAAATCACCAATGGAAGTAAAAGAAGGAGAAATAAAAATCAGGAGCATTCACCAATTTTCAGCCCTTGACAGCAGAGACCTCCTGATGTCTGCTTATTTGCCAGGGAAAAGGAGGGAGGTAAGGATGGGAAAAAAATCATCTTAAACCAGAGTAATTCATCTAACCTAAAAAAGGGGAAAGCCTTCCATGCAAGAAGATCATGCATGGTATCAGCTGGTTGTGGCAATGATTGACTCACTAGACCTTGGATTTAACAGAGGGATAACACTGCTGGCTCAACCCTGGATTTGCACATGTTTGTTTTATTTTAAGTGTTAGTCATATTTCATAACTAAAGCAGTCCATGAAACAGGAGATGGGACCCAAGTCTCAAAACCAAACACAGACCCCATATACAAAGGGCAAGCTAGGTCTGCAATGGTCTGTGACACCCAGCTCCCACGGGCTCCTCTACACACATTAAGAGATGGTGGCTGCCACATACATGAGCTGTGGCCTTTTGTGCTTCTCTCTCTTCCCGGGTCCCACCTTTATTAATCCTGTGTTTGTATAGGAAAGCCTTGAACACTAAAGGAAGGGCCTTTGAAGGAGGGCAGCAGGAGCACTTCACTACCACATAGTCATGGCCCACCAGGAACAGACTGGATAGATTACAGGGGAGCTTCTGGGTGAATATAAGATACCAAATTCTACTGCTTCGCAACCAGCTGCCTCTCTGTCTTTCCAAAATGTACGTGCAATGATACATTACCTTGTCGTGGAAAGCTGTGATTAGCCAGAGCTCTGTTTCCAGGTTTGTCCCTCTTTTCTCTGCTGCGATAAATTGCAAAAGGTTCTCATGCTTCATGCCAGGAGTGTTGAAAATCTCCCTCTCACTCTGCCAAGATTGCTTATCCTAAAGCACGGAGAAATGCACCATCAAAGATCATGCTTGCCTTTAAAGCAAACAGCTCCTTCAGTTCAGTCAGAGCTGCTCACAGCAGTCTTAAAATCATCTTCCAGTGTTCGGATCTGATGTATCCCTTCACAGTGAGGCTGATTCCCTAAGGAGTAGATGCTGGAGAAAGACTGGAAGTTGCTGTTCTTAGTCTCTCCTCTCCAGAATTATCCTCAGATATTCCTAAAGCCCATGTGTGGGAAGGGGGGAGGAATCCAAACTCAACCTCACTGAGAAATAAGATTTCCTAAAGATGCTCACAAGAATAAAGCCTGTGCATACAGTACCCAGATCTGCCTTGTAGCTGTAATTGTTGCAATTGCAAAATCTAATCTAGGCTCTTTTGAATATTTACTAGTAGGTCACAGCTGGCTTGGACAGAAGATGTGCAAATCTCCTTTAGCAATGCTATGACAACAAATATGGGGTGAAAAAGTAATGAAGAAGGAGACAGTGGAGGAGCACAAAGATGTTCTAGCCATTCTTCTATCATTTGACTTTTGATTGCTTTACTCTTTTCATCTGCAATTCCTAGAGAATCAAGTCAGGACTGTTCAAAGGTTTCCTAGAGCAGAAGACGTGAGCTGACAGAAATGCTGCAGTCCAATTAGCTCTCACAGTGCTGGGGCTCTGCCTTTGGAAGCTGTAAACTGTTTGCTAGGTTTGGGTTCAGATTTACAACCTACCCAGGCAGGACACACAAAGCCGAGGCTCTGGCCCTTTGTGTGCACTCTGGGCACTGCAGCTGCTCGCTGCCTTCCTGGACCTAAACACAGGCATTTGCTGTGAAGTTAAAATACCCTGCAGGTTTCAGAATGTGCTTGGTTTTGCCCTTGTTGCAACAAGTACTACTACAGGAAGCATTTGGTAATGAGATAATGCAGAGAGAAGTGTAGGAAGGAAGGGTCCTTGAACTTTTTCCCCCAGCACGAGAGCCCAAATGCATCTTTGTTATGGTCTTTAAAACCATAATCTCCATAGGCACTTAGAGCATCTCAGCACCAGTGAGGAAGCCTGGCAAGTGAGAACTTAATGCAGTGCCCTACTCACCTGAATAGGGAAGATTTTCACTGCTACGTAGTCGTTCATCAGCTGAGCCTTCCACACGCAGCCAAAGCGTCCCCTTGCCTTTATCTCCAAGAGCTGCAGAGGCTTTAGGCCAACCAGGGGAGAAGGGGGTGGTGGGCCAGGGTCCTGCACAAGAGAAAAACACTGTCACCACCTGAAGGTGGGCTGTAAAACGAAGTGACGGGAGGAATGGAGAGACTGCATGTGGGGAAAGAAGTGTAAAGAAGCCACATTTTATTTAATACAAATTATTTAGATATACTGTTTGTGGCAAGAACAGCCTGAAATTCCCTATCTTGCTCTATAAGGTATTGGTGTAGAACACATAAAATCATCTACATCTCCAAGTGTCACTTTGTGTGTTGAACTACTGCCTGCCACGCTCTGGCAAAACCTGAATACTCCTATATAATAGCAAGAGCTATTTTGGGCTGTAAAACACCGATGACCTCAAGTCTACCTTCTGTCAAAAGAAGGAACCTCTTGATCTTTGTGACCCAACAGCCAACTACACCTAAAACCTCCCACTGCTTTGCACTTCATTAGGAATGTTCCACATAACCTCAGCAATGGGCAGTAAACAGGTCTGTCAGCATCATAAAGATCGTATCTGTTTAAACTCTACATTTGCCCAGGAGGGCAGCAGAACCCTGCAGGACGCGTGGGGTTGGAGCTCTGTCCTACCTGCTTTCAGATGGGAAAGGTTCACAGTATCATAGAACCACAGAATGTTTTGGGTTGGAAAGGGACCTTGAAAATCATCTCATTCCAACCCCCCTGCCATGGGCAGGGAAACCTTCAGCTAGACCAGGTTGTTCAGAGCCCCATCCAGCCTGGTCTTGAACACGTCCAGGGATGGAGCATGCACAGTTTCCCCGGGCAATCTGTTCCGGTGCCTCACCACCCTCACAGTAAAAAAATTTGTACCTAATATCTAATCTAAACCTACTTTCTTTCAATTTGAACCCATTCCCCCTTGTCCTGTCACTTCACGCTCTTGTAAACAGTCTTGCCCCATCTTTTCTGCAAGTTTCCTTCAGGTACTGGAAGGCTGCACTTTGGTCACTCCAAAGTCTCCTCTTTTCCAAGCTGAACAACCCCAGTTGTCTCAGCCTTTCCTCACAGGAGAGGTGCTCCCTTCCTCTGATCAATTTGATGGCCCTCATCTAGACTCACTCCAACAGGCCAATGTCTTTCCTGTGTTGAGGACCCCAGAGCTGGATGCAGTACTTGAGGTGGGACCTCATCAGAGCAGAGCAGAGCAGAGGGGCAGAATCCCCTCTCTCAACCTGCTGAGCCCATAGTATGGGCTGTAATGGGCAGAGGAGGGAGGGAGAGGTAGCAGCTCCAGCCTCCAGAAGAAACCAGAAGGCTAAAGGGACAGCAGAGCCAGCAAGGACCAGTTCCTGATGGCTTTGGATGATGAGGATGACCTCCTGCATGCATTCTCTGAGGGCTCATAAAAACTGAGCCTCATCAGGGAAAGCATCTTCCCTCATCCCATAAAGCTGGTAGAACTTTATCATCTCTCTATCTCTACTCCTCTACAGAGTTGGTCGAAACAAGGCGACAGGTTTGAGAGTTTGGGAGGAAGGGTGGCCATCAAGCAGGGCTGTGTAACTCCATCCTTCAGGAATCTCGGGCATGGTGATAACCCCATCGAAATCCATCAGTCTAACACTAACACAGAGGACAACTGTACCACCAACTTCCAAAAACAGAGAAGAAAAGTTAGGCCATCAGAAAAGAGAGAAGCAGAAGCATATGTGAACATACCCTGTGCAGCCACCGTGCCTTTTGTAAGGCCCGAATAAAGGGGAGCAACTCCCTCACCTCAATAATGTCGACGTGCCCGTAGGGAGGTTTGCGGTGCCGGTACATCCAGAATGCCAGGAGGATGGCCATGGAGAGGACTGCGATGGGGAGCAGGGAGTACACCAGGATATTGAGCAGGGAGGGCGTTGGCGGCGGCGGCTCGTAGATGACTGTGAGAAATGAGCAGGGTAAATGAGGGAAAAGGACCCTTCAGGCAAGAAACAGCACTGGGAGCTACACACGTAGATGTAACCAAACCCCACCCATCCTTCTGCCCCAAAACTGACAATGCTTACTGGTGTGTCCTGTCACACCCAACACTATTCACAAGGCCCCATGGTTTTCTCTGCTCCACATGGCTGTCAGTAATGGAGTTACAATGGTCCAAACCACACTTTGCAAGCTGAGCCTCCATCTGACCTTTATTTAAGATAGGTATTTCTTGCTGGTGTACATAAAAGCAGAACATTTCCTGCTCTTAACCCTTCCAAATGTATTAAGAGAGCACGAAATCCCTTGCAGCTTTGCTTTGCCTTTTACAGTGATTGACAAGTTGTCAGTTTTTAGTAAAATGCTGCCGGAGCCACAATCAAATGCACTATTCCCACAGTAGTTCTTGTTCCAAATTACATCAGTGCAGTTGAGACACAAACAATGGGAATACTAAATGGAGCCATGTTGCTATGTTGGAGACAGGGAAGGAAAAAATAGCAAGACTTGCCAAATCAAACAAAAAACTGTGAGAGAAAGAATATTTGCCACTAGGTTGCTAGGGGTACATTAATAACAGGAGATAATAAAACCCATGTAAACAATTAAAAAACAAACAGGAAAGCCCAGGAAAATCTGGCAACGGTCTATTGGAACATCTCAGCAAATGCAGGTAGTTCATAGCAGAAGAAACCATCCCATGGAAAAGATTCACCTGCTTTAATAGTTTTTATTGAATGATACTTTAGAAAGTGTTCAAGAACCAACATTTTTCTATTAGCCTCTGAAGAAGGCTGCTATTACTTTTCTTCCTTGATGTATATCCACAGACTCTGACACACACACCACTCCCCATTCCCTTTCAATCCCCAAACTGACAAAATAGAACGAAATGCAAAAATCCCAAATGCTCAAGGTATTTGGAGACCTGTGACCTATGAAAACTAACGGAGAGAGTGTCAAATACCTTTTAAGAGTTTGAGGCTAGTTCCATGCTGTATAAATCACTCTGCCCTCTTCCCCTTGTGCAGGACTTTGTTTTGTAATATCCCACTGTGAATTGTCCACCATAAAGAAAACCTAATCCTTTTTGATGGTATCCGAGGTATTGGTACAAGAGGCTTTACCCACAGAGTGAAACAACCTTAAAAAACTGCTACTAAAGAACTGTAGGAAAAGGATTTATGGACTTTGTAACCAAAACATCCAACAACTCAATGTTGGCATGAAGCTGAGTGAGAGGAGGTTTAGGTCAAATATTAGGAAAAGGTTCTTCACCCAGAGGCTTGTTGGGCACTGGAATAGAGTTCCCAGGGAACTGGTCATGGCCCCAAGGCTAACAGAGCTCAAGTGGCATCTGTAGAACACTCTCATGCACATGGTGGGGTTTCTGGGTGTGTCCTATACAGGGCCAGGAGTTAGACTCGATGATCCTTGTGAGTCACTTCCAACTCAGGACATGCTATGCTTTTATGAAAGTCATCAGAAACTGAGTCTAGAGGAAGAGATCCCAACTCCCCCTCCTCCCAGTCACTCACCTTCTGGGCCGGTGACTTCAGGCAAATGGGTAAATTTCTCATTGCAATAGTTGCCCTCGCAGCAGCAGAAAAACACTTGAGGGTTTTCTTCTGTGGCTACGCACTCCTGCCTGCACCAGGGAGGGACAGACACGGCAATTTAGGAAAGAGAAAAACAAGGTCAGCCAACTTCTGCCTCTTTGGGCACCAACCTGCCTCAAACTGTCCTCTCCACACACCTTCTCCTGCGCCTGCGCTGCACAGATCAGCAGTCTCCACTTACAGAAAACAACTTGGCACTCGAATACCCCAGTGGATAGCAAAGACCCTTGAAAAGACCGTAAAGGAAACAAATGCTTCCATATGTACTGAGGGGCATTAGACGGCGAGTAATAAATAACAGCCGCCGCTGCTAACGCAACGAGAGGGAGAAAAATGATGGAGAGACGCCTCGGTCCCTGAACAGTGCCCTTCCCACAGCCCAGATGTACGCTGCCAGGGGAGAGAAGTATTTGATCACGCAATTAAAGATTGTGCCATAAAGAACATGTGATGAGGGCTGAGCTAAGACTGCTCCCACAGCCCTGAGCATCATGAATTCTATGCACTCAAAGGGCAGCAGACACTGGCAGGAACAGCCCTGCTGCTGCAGGCAGGAGGGAGGCTGCAGGTTCAAGGGCATGTAGTGATAGGACAAGGTAATGGCTTCAAACTGAAGGAGTGCAGGTTTAGATCAGATACTAGGTACAAATTCTTTACTGTGAGGGTGGTGAGGCACTGGAACAAGTTGCCCAGAGAAGTTGTAGATGCCTCATCCCTGGAAGCGCTCAAGGTTATGTTGGATGGGGCTTGGTGCATCTTTGGTCTTATGGAAGGTGTCTCTGCCATGGCAGGGGGTTGGACTGAGATAATCTTTAAAGATCACTCCCAATCCTAATCATTCTAGGATTCTATGATTCTCATTTTGGGTTTTTTTTAAGTTTAATTTTCAAGTGCCATCTCCTCCTTTAAAAATCTTATTCCTGCACAAAAACCTTTAAGAAAATCAAGTTGCAGCTCCCATTTTCTGCCTTTGCCTGTTATCCAGGTAGTGCTACAGCCTTTCCAGCACTGAGATTTCCTTCCACATTGTGCAAGGCGTTGGAGGATCTCCACAGATCAGACCAACTCCACTTCCACACATCCTCCCTCTCCCCACAGATCAATGCCAAAAGAGATGTGCGGTGATTTTTGCAGTGCTCTAGCAGTAATTTCTTTCTAGTTCTTAAATGCTGCTTCCCTTCCCAGCCTCCTTGTGCTATGTTACCCTCTGCTTTTAGTTATTAGGCTTGCAAAGCTGCTCTCCACAGAGAGCTGTATCAAACTATTTCCTGAAGCCCAGCTAAATTATATGCATAACTTCCTTCCCTCAACCACTTGGAGGAAGTAGCAAAACAATCATATGTGTTTGACATTATTACTCATTTCTGAATCCATGCCAAGCCTCCCTTTCTGTGGTATCACTGACACACTGCCACGAGAAGAACAGGAAGGGCTCTCTTCAGTCTTAACACTGGGTAGTTTTCGGTGCTTTATTCTTCTTGGGGGGAAAAAAACTGGCTATAGCCAAACTGTCTCCTGCAAGGTCTCAGCTAGGAAGCACTTGGTTTGTTTTTCAGGCTTTTATTTTTTACTTCAAAGCAAAAAAGCAGCCATTTGACTTATTCAAATGAACAAAGATGTTTCAACAAGTTAAACATGTTTCCAGATGCTTTTTCATGAAATCAGATAACAAGCCCTTTGGATTTAACAGCATCAGTGTTGGAGTCTTCAATAGAAAACACATCCTTTGCTAAATCTGTTGGTTAAGAAATCAAGCTAATGAGCGAAAACAGCCTGTTCCACATCTGCAATTCATTATCCCTGTCTTTGAGTTGGTGTACGCTCAGGGAAGCCACCCAGGTACGTATGACATGTTATACTTAGCAAATATTACAAATGAGCATTACAGTGGGAATGACACATTTTTCTGTGGCAGTGAGGGCACGTTTCAGAGTGTTTCACGTGCTCACATCCAAGGGAAGGTGTACATGACCTCCCCGGCGGGTCTGTGTAAATAAACGAGAACGCACACAAGTCGATTTTTAAACACTACCTTTTTCCCATAACCTTAAATGTACATGTGCCACATTCTTGTTTCCTTAAGATAAAGAACAGAGTAAGGAGCCGTCACCTTCGACGTCCCAACTCTTGCACTCCTTAATTTTTCCACCTTCCAGCGACAAGGAGGCAGCACTTGGCACATGCTGCCTGTGCTCCGAGAGCACCAGCCAGCAGAACAGGACCATGCCCTGCATCCAGGGAGATACGAGCACGGGTGCAACTCCCAAGGCTGCTTCCGGGAGCTCAGCATCCAAAGGTGCCAAAGGCAGAAACAAAAAGGGCATCAGCACAGAACCATTGATCAAAAAATCATCTTTTTAGCCATTTTTGCCATTTGGGATGCATGAATGTCTGCCAAGGGCACTCAAGGGAAGAGAAAAAGTAAAAAGGACTGCATTTAAAGAGCCTTTACTCCTTTACTTATTAAAGCTAACCTTTATTTCAAATGTTGCTTTTGACACTTGTACTGTTTGTTAATTCTCAGAAGATCGTTTCGCTTTGCCCTGGAACTTGTGGCTTTGAAGAGTCAGGCTATGGGATACTGGATACTCAGTTCCAGGGCTGCAAAAGGCTGGTGAGGAGCCCTGGAAAGTTTTTACCATTCTAACAGAGCAACACATTATGACAAAGTTTAAGAACCACTACATCCCTGCAGAGACACTCAGTGACAATACAAGTGTCACTGGATAGGAGAGCAGGCACTGAAAGGAGAAATCTGTTTACAGTAAACACTTCTGCCTGGAAGTAGGAAAATACAGTGACCTTCTGTTCTCAGAAGGATCGGCGTTAGGATGACTAATGGGCCAAGGAGGATTGATTTATTGGGAAAGAAAAAAAAAATTAACTATATATAGAGCTTGGCTCCTCAATTGGCAAGGGAATAGGTGTGGTGGGAAAGCAACCCTAGAGCTAATAATAGAATGAAGATGAGGAGCAACTCACAGTCGAGATAAGTTAAGACAATGGGCACAAAAGCAGGGAAAGTGTACAGCACCAAAGGGAGAAAACTCTTTAGCCATGGGACAAATCTAGTCCCAGCTCAACCCCACAGTGCAGGACCCGATGCTCTAAAACTTTTGGAATAAGAAGCTACAAAGACGCATAACTGGGAATTTCACAAATGTGAGCTCAACCCACATTGGTGGTATATCAAGGGAAGTCCTTGAACTTTATGTTGCTAACCCTTATTGAAAGCGTTGGGCTTGGCTTAGTTGGGTGGTCGTTGGGGGTTTTTTTTAAGAGAAACACTGAGCCTAGAGCTACTGAACACTGTCCTTTTCAACGGCGAAACTTCAGAGGGCTGTTTTCTTTAGCTGTAATTCTTTTCCCTCTGTGGAATTGCATCAAGGAAATGAGAAAAGACTAGTTAATTTTCCCAGCTATTTAATGAGGCTGGAGCCTTCGTACTACAAAACCTCACTCCTTTTCAGATCACTACAGGCAGCGACACACAAACTCACATGTTGCTTTTCCTGCCTCACTCTTTCTCCCAGCCCATCTCTCCGACTCAGCCAAAGAACAAACTTTTTGCAGCATCACAAACGTCAGAATACCTCAATCCCTAACTACCCTCAGATATCTGTGCTTTTCTAGACAGCTCCAAATGATTCCAAGTTTTCCTTTATATCGCCAAATGCTCTTGGAAGAACATGTTGCTCTTCACTTGATGGTACAGGACAGGTTTTTCAATGCATGCCAGAATTATCAAAGCTTTGCTAAGGAAAAAATGGAACCCAAACAAAACACAAAACCCCTAAAAGTGCCTTTTGCAGCTTCTATTTAGAATGTCAAAGCAGGTAAGTGACAATTCTGGGAGCTGCATTAGCAACAGAAGTAACTAGACGGGATGAATGGGTCAATGGACTTGGACTCGCTTTCTTTTCCTCAACGCACAAATTATGAGCCTTTACATTTAGAGGAACAATTAAACCTGTATTTAGATAAACCAGTTAGGCCATTACCTGTCATAGCAGTTGAAGTCATCTAACCAGCAGCCTTTCTTCACCAGCTCGATGGAGCCCGAGTTGTTTCTCCAGGAGGCGTAGCAGTGGAGCCGCTTGTCCTTCTCCCCCTCACAGCGCTCCACGCCGCTCTGGTTGGTCTTTTCCAGCTCCCAGTTGGCATTGTAGTAGATGCACTCCCTCGTCTCAGCCTCCCCATGGCCCGGGCCTGAAGAAAAATTCAAACCCCAAGAACGCTCAGGTAAAATCAGAAATAGATACTGGGAAACACATCTCCGCGTGGCTCCGTTTTGGGTGACGCATACATTTGATTCCCTGGGAGCTAAACAGTTTGTCAGTGAGAGCTTCAGCACAGCGTGGAGATTATTCTTCTTCTCTGGTGTGGGGTGGGGAATGGAGAGGTCAGGTTTGCCTAAGCTCACAACAGGAGCTCATGGTGAAGTCAAGAGCCCAGCTGAGACCTCCCCAGATCTCCTCTGGCCAGTGTGTCAACCACAGGACCTTAAAAAGGGGATACATGTGCAACCCATACCCAGTATTCTCTAGCCACAGAAACCCTGTTTGGGAAAAAACAACCTCCCAGGGTGCTACTTGATGCTTGTTGGCTCTTCACACAACAGAGTCCCTCTCACTCCTCACCACTATTTTGGAAAACATCACGTAAAAATAAATAGTTGCTTACATGAGTAGGACATAACTGAGAACAGAAAACATTCATCCCGCAGAGGAGGGTCAGACCATTCCTCACTTGGGTCCAAGTTCAGGCTTATTTGAGTAAGTCTCCATATGATAAATGCAATATTTTCAGCTGCAGTTGACACAGCTCATGGTCCCTCTCTACCCATTCCAGACCTTCAGCAAAAGACAAGTCTGTTTCCCAAACAACTCCGGCCATCCAAATGGATGCTTGGTCATCACAAACAAAGGAATCTGTGGGTCTTTTTCCATTTAGAGTTTTGTACCAAAGGACCATGGGTTCCTACTGCCCCTAGGAAAACAATTCCTTCATAGACACCACGGGGCAGAACTGAAACATGATTGCAGACACATCCATTAAAACCAGAGTCAAGTAAGGGAACACTGATATCTGCAGGTGACCTGTTTTGTCCCAAACCTTAGAAATCCTCTCTTCATTTGGAAATATGCTGCTTTGTGGCATTTTGAGGAATAGTTTAAAACAAAACGAAGAATGAAACAAACACAATTTGTAAGTAGACAAACAGAAAAGGCACCATGAGCCTTGTACCATGAAGCTCATGATTCCATAAATCCTGAAATGCCCTGCAGCCATCTCTCTTTGGGATTACCCAGCCTAAGGCAAGGTGAGACCCAGCCATTATTTTGATGGATTGTAGTCATGGAAAATGCAGGTATCCCAATAAAACGTGTTGACAACTTGGGTAGAAAACACAAAGAGATCCCACAGGACGGTGAAATGAAAGTGCTCTGCTCTTAGAATAGCCAGACCTCTGTAAACCATAGAATTACACTTCCGGCTGGAAAATTTTGCAGTCCTTTCATGACTATCCTCTCCGAAGGTCGTGCAACCTTTAATGTTGAGATTAAGGCAATCAGGACCATGTCTGGATGATCCATATGCAATCCAGCCTGTGATTCCCGCTCAACATGGCAAACCAGCCCCTTCTGAGAGGTCTCTGCAAGTGGATACAATTCAGTCTTCATAAGACACTGAGCAGAAAGTGGCTGAGAGCTGGCAGAGAAAGAGCCTAGCACAGGTACCAGTCCCAGATACCTCCTGTATCTTCATCAATTCCATACTTGAACACCCATCCACTGATGTAAGTACCCTCACAACACCCAGCCAGAGAAGGGAGTATTACTTCCAGTGGAAGATTCAACACATCCTGTCCAGTCTCCAAGCAGAATTCACCTCCAATCATGCAGTGCATGGAGATCCCTTTAGAGATGGTGCTTGAGAAAGAGATTTCTTTCAAGCTATTCAGTGTAGCTTGATCTGCTTTAGGGAATCAACCCCCAACTGCCCCACAGGCATCAAGAAAGGAAAGTAGGTGACCTGACAGAGAGTAGAAATAGAACTTCAAGAAGGTTGCAGAAGAAACCACAGTTTCTGTACAAGCTAGGGGTGATGCATCCAGTCTGCTCCCAGTCCCAATACCTGGACTCAGCAATGGGTAATTTCCGTGGTACAGAGCAAACGCATTACACTAGGAAGATGTCTTTGCAGGCTGAAGAGGTGTTCAATCCTTCAATAACACTTTTTTGGGGGAAGAACGTTTAATCTGCATCGTGGGAGAGACTGCAAGGGAGTAGGGGTATGAGAATGTCATAAAGCTGACTTTTGAAACTGGAAATTATATTCAAAGCACACACGAACAAGAGCTCAATATCAATAGCACCTGCAGGCTTTATCAGTGCTTGCAAAGCTCCATCAGAGTTTTCCTCTGACAAGTTGCTTACTATAATGAAAACAACCTACCAATATCCCTCAACACAGAACAGTGTCAATATTGACACTCCTTGTTAAAGCCTTGATATTTGTTCTCTTGATACTTACACCATGCTTTGTTAGGGCAGATTAAGCATTTTTGCTAAATACTAGTTAAATCAGCAGGAAAGCAAAGGAGCTTTTTTTTGGGGGGAGGGGGAGCAGGGGGAGAGAGGGAGATATATTTTTATTTGTAAAGAAAAGAGTAAATACCTTGGCTTCGTGGAATCATAGAATGTTTTGGGTTGGAAAAGACCCTTAAAGGTCATGTAGTCCAACCTCCCTGCAATGAGCAGGGACATCTCTGACTAGACCACGTTGCTCAAAGACCCATCCAACCTGGCTGTGAATGCTTCTAGGGATGGGGCACCCACCACCTCTCTGGACAACCTGTGCCAGTGTTTCCCCACCCTCATTGTAAAATGCACCTTCACTGTAATACCCCGCATGGCTTCCAGCTAATACCTGATAGCTAATACTCGCTATCACCTTCTGCTCTCCTCCTGGAAATACATTTTGTAATATCATTTTCATCATCCCAAACTGAATCTCGCTTTTGATCAAGATGGAAATTTCCTCTCCCTCCCTAACTCTGACTCTCAGAAAGCTGGAAGGTTTAATGAACCATTTTACTGCAAATCAGCCCCAAAATCTAATCCTGGCTCAGCCACCTCCATCTGTAACCTCAAGAAATACTGTGTAGCCTCTGTTTTCTCCACCTGCAACAACGGCAAATGCAATGCACATAGCTGCAGTGAGATTCGATATTTCCACTGTGCTTTGAAAAGGGGATGTTGAAAAGATACGAAGCAGGAGTCGTATCGGCTCTGGGACCAGCAAACCAAGGCTGCTAAATCCTGTGCTGAGCCCAGACTCCCTTCCCCCAAGACAGTTGTCTTTTCTGGAACAAGTTTCAGCTGAAGACTAAGAGCTGCTTGCAAACATGCAAACCCAACTCTGCAAACAGCAACCGTGCCAGGAAAAAGGCCTTTCCCAGCTTTCCCCCCGCTGTCAAAGTTTAGATGAGTTGAATAAAAGCATACATAAAGTTTTGGATGACTAAATATATGTATGCTTTCTTTAAAACAGTTCTTAAGGATGCTTGCATTAAGAAGACACTTTAAAAACCTGCGTGTTTGTTGCTTGCTCTCAGATCTTTTTAAAAGCCATTTGGTAGGATCCTCACCCTGCTGGGTGCTCAAGACTGCAAGAAACCCTCCTGTTTGTGCCCAAGATGGTCTCAGCAGGAAGGGGCACGGCTCCAGGTCTGGGTATTAATTTACCTGCTGCTTTAGCTCATCAAGAAACACTCACACCTTGCTCTGTAATGGATCATGCAGAGACCAAAGTTTGCAGCTAACTGCCTGTTCTGCCCTCGCTGCATTAAAACCCTCAACTGAACAGAGGGAGGGAGAATCAAAACAGGGGTTTGTCCCTTTGAGGGAGATAGGTGGGGTAGTGACTAAGAGAAGGAAATCTGAGCTTTGTTCCTGTATCTCCAGGGAGCCCTGTAGTCTCTCCTGTCTCCTCTTCCCCCCTTGGGCAGTGGATACCCCCAAAGCCACTACAGGTCTGTAAGAAATGCTGAGCTGGACATTGGGTAATGGTTTGTAACTAAAAGAGAGTCAATTTGGATTAGATGTAAGGAAGAAATTTTTTACTATGAGGGTGATAAAACACTGGAACAGGTTGCTCAGATTGATGGTAGATGTCTTATCCTTGGAAAGGTTCACTGTCAGGTTGGACAGGGCTTTGAGAAACCTGATGTAATTGAAGATGTCCCTGATCACTGCAGATGAGTTGAACTAGATGCCCTCTAAAGGTCCCTTCCAGCCCAAATGACTCCATAATAGGCACAGATCAACCATGTCCTGCTTCTCATTTCAGCATAACCTGGCTCAAGAGAAGTGTTGTACCAAACCTGAGTATCTGAGAGAAAGGACACAACTAATTTTGGGCAAAAGAACCTTTCCTGAAACAAAAAGCCTTTCAGTACAGTCACAAACACATCTTGGGATGGACTAAAGGGGCTGTGTCCCCCCAGACCTGCTCTCCCCTCCTCACAACGCTCTTGTCACCTCCCTCACAGCAGCCTTGGTACGTAGAAAAGCTCCTCAGCTCCTTCATTCAGTGGCACTGCCTGGTAACATCCTGCTCACACAGGATGGAAAATAAACATCCCAGGGAACCGCTCAGCTTTTGGCAGAAAGTCAGCAGGACTTGGGCACAATGAGATATAAAACATTTGCTAAGCAAGTGTTTGAATATCGCTGTTGGAACCTGGTTTAATTCATTGGGTCCCCGTTCCCCTCCTGCCTAACCCTATTCTGCCAGCCATAATGCAAAATTTGGGAAAAAAAGCTGTTTCCTACCAATAGGAGAAGGGGCTCCCGTTAGGTACAGGCAACAGGTACAGTCACAGGTGGGATCTGCTGGCTCCTGCCATCCATATGCCATTTTGCAGGGGAGATGTTTCCACCACAGCTGGGTGACTGCCTGCAGAAACTACACTGGCAACACTGTGCAGAAAGGCTGAGCAGGCAAACCAGGAGCATGGCTGTGGGGCAGGAGCATGGACATGGGGCAGAAGCACAGCATGCCTAGCAGTGCAGCCCACTATTAGTCCAAGTCCTCTCCACGGAAAAGTCTCGTGCCAGCAACCAGGCAAAACTGATCAACGTTTTAATACCACGATCCACAAAGAGTCATTTAAGGAATAAAGCCTGAAGTCCTGTTTGAAA